GATTTCTCCTCCCATTCGTGATGGTAGCAGCTGGGGGCTTTTCCCCCTGCGCAGTTTAGATGCTGATTTTCTCGGGGGTAACGATGGTTGTCTTGTTCAAATGCTTGCGAATGGAAGCTCGTGGAAATGTCATTGCATTGGTTCGCCATTCCTGTGCCTGTAGGTGCTGGTGGTCGAATGGTGATTTAGTTTTCTTGGATCTCAATGTGCTCTGTTTCTCTGTGAAGGGGTGTGAACTGATATTCTGGTGGGTGGGTTGTGAAATGGGTCGTGCTCTAATTGTCTATATGGGCTGTACTGTTATATTTGGAGACATCCAAGTTTGGAAGGAGCATAATGAATGTCGAGAATTCATTTATGGAAAATGTTTGAGCGAAGGACAGTGGAGCCCTCCCTTGAGGGTTTCAGCCTGGGTTGCTTTTGCTCTTAGGTTTTTTCAATTAGACTTTGGGGCTGGCTTTTCACTCTGAAGAGCCTATGGAAAATAAAATCTCATTTGCTGAAGCAAAAAATTGTTTTTTTTTTTCCTTAAATAAAACATTTGATTTGCTTTGACCCCGATGTGCAACTTATGGGCTTCTTGTGTGTTTGTTTCGTTGAAAACTTTACGACGGAGAGAAATATTTTCCGTGAAGATTTTCAAAGAAAATGGCTGATTTTTAGTTGTTGGGTGGTGTACTTGAAAGGAAATTTTTTTTCTTATATTTTTTGTTTTGACTGTAAATTTTTTTCTGTTAATTATTCACTTTCTGCGAATCAAACACATGAAAGTTTGAAAGTTCATTTTTTTCTATAAAAACAAACACCCCTGGATTGTGTTCTTATCATGCATGGGAATGTTAAAATGTTGTAGGTTCTGGAGTTGGCTGGTAATGCTGCAAGAGACAACAAGAAGAACAGGATCATCCCGAGACATGTTCTCTTAGCTGTGAGGAATGACGAGGAGCTTGGGAAATTGCTTGCTGGAGTGACCATTGCCCATGGAGGGGTGCTTCCCAACATCAACCCGGTCCTCCTGCCGAAGAAGACCGAGAAGGCGGCCAAGGAGCCAAAGTCTACTTCCAAGGCCACCAAGTCACCCAAGAAGGCTTAAGGGATTAGTCTTGTTTTGATTTGGTCTTGTGCCAAAGGTGACTTGTTTGTATTGCCCTCTTTTCGTGCCTCCGCCTCCTTCTGTATGTAATTTTAGCTTGATGTACTTAAAAGCCCCTTTTAGGTGATGTTGATGGTGTTAGGATTTTCAGGCCATTGTGCTATTTGGTTTTATGTTTCGGTAGAACATCTTTTGTTTCTCTGAATTGAATGACATCCTGAAAGCTTTTAGGAAGTTCATGATTTGCGCTCGGTTGAGAGCTTGGGATAATTTGTTATTACTAGAGCGGTCTCTGTTTTCAGTGAGCGTCTTTTTTTGCTTTGCAAACATGAACAAGTTGCTCGGGAATCAACCTGTAAAGTAAGCACTAATTTAGTTGGTCTAGTGGTGGATGAGTCACTTATTTTTACGAGATTACGAGTTTGATTTACATCGCAAGTGAATTTCTAAATTGTTCATGTGGCTTCGCCCTGCGACAAGCTGAATTTGATAATGTTGACATATACTGATTAGGACGATAGAGAGGAGTTGTGGGTGTGAACGCCGGAAGCTAGTCTCCCGAAGATGCTTCTTTGGACGATAAACCTCTACAGTCGAAGAAAATCCACAAGCATTTGCGGCGTTGGCTTTGATAAGTGGTAGCGAATTAATAGGCGAATCGTCAAGTGGGATGAACTACTTGAGATGGCACCAGTGTCGATATGAGGAAGAGGTGATTAGGGTTGGAAAGAGCTCTTCAAGTATAATGCTACATATCGAAAGCCTATTCAAGCCAACGAGCTGGGCAATTGGTGGGAGTTTGCATAATATTGTCTTGACGTCGAAAAAATCCTTTGGTTTTGCCGAAGATCCCCGCTTCGTTCACTATGTACAGACAGTTTTGCAATCTCAGTTCAAGCCCGTTCGGCAATCAACAAACACCAGCAACTGCAAGTTGCAGTTCAAAGAGAGAAGGGCAGCATTGATGCATATGCTGTCGACGGATAACTTCTGAGTCTCTTTAACTTATGAGGTATAGATTAACACTATGAATTACGTGCATTGTGTTGTCATTGGTTATTGGGTCAATGAAGAATGAGAATTATGTCACTAAGCTCTTGTGTATAAGAAGTTAATATTTTGGCACGATTCTCGAAACGTGGCTGTCGAATTAACGAGAGATGTCAATGAGTTTTGACAATTTCGATAAATTCTCGTCACCACCTGAACACCTCCCTTCATTGGATTGTGATCCCAAAGCTAAATCCATTTGCAACGGCATTTTCTTTGTGTTACTAAAAATGTCAAATTATGTCTATTGCGATACAAATACCTTAAACTTTTATTTGTATCACTAAGAACCTTAAACTTGCACATTGTGACGCAAATACCCCAAACTTATATCAGTGTGACAAATATACCCCGGATGAAACTATAATAGAGGGTATATATGTTACACATGTATACGTTTGGGTTTTTTCACGGCACAAAAAAAAGTTGTAGGTATTTGTGTCGCAATAGGCAAGTTTAGGGTTTTTGGCAACACAAAAAAAGGGGGAAAGTGCGAAAAAAGTCATAAACCTTTTGTATTGGTGTCAATTTAGTCTTAAATCTTTTTTTGGTGCCAATTTAGTCCTAAACCTTTTTATGATGGCAATTCAGTCCTAGACCTTTTGCATTGGTGTCAATTCAGTCCTAAACCTTTTGTTTTTGTGCCAATTCAGTCCTTCCGACCAATTTTCACCGGATTTTGTTGACGTGGACGCCGATCGACTAGCGGCCGGTCACCGGTGCTGACGTGGACAACTTTAATAATATTTTAATATTTTTTTGAATATTTATTTATTATTTATTTTTTTTCCCCCTCCCCTCCCTCCTTCCTCCAGCCAGTCACCGGACCGGCGACCGGCCAGAGGCTAGAGGCCGGTGTCGGTGACTGGCCAGAGGCCGACGCCGGTGAGGTTGGGTCTCGCCGGATCTGGCAAGGTCGAGCCTCGCCGGCGGCTGGCACGACCTCACTAGATCTGGCGAGGTCTGGCCTCGCCCAGCCATGGTGAGGCTCGCCTTCGCCGTTGCTGGCGAGGGCGAGCCTCGCCTAGCGCGAGGCCGCCCTCGCCAGTGGCGGGCGAGGTTGACCTTGCCGGCGCCGGCCTTTGGCCTTTGGCCGGTCGCCGGTCCGGCAACCGGCTGGAGGAAGGAGGGAGGGGAGGGGAAAAAGAAAGAAAAAAAGAAAAAAATAAATAAAAATTCAAAAAAATATTATTAAAGTTGTTCACGTCAGTGCTGGTGACCGGCCATCGGCCGACCGGCGTCTACGTCAATAAAATTTTGCCAAAATTGATCAGAAGAACTGAATTGGCACAAAGACAAAAAGGTTTAGAACTGAATTGGCACCAATGCAAAAGATTTAGGACTGAATTGGCACAAAAAAAAAGCTTAGGACTAAATTAGCACAAATGCAAAAGGTTTAGGATTGAATTGACACAAAAAAAAGGTTTATGAGTAAATTGGCACCAATGTAAAAGGTTTAGGACTTTTTTGGCACTTTTCCACAAAAAAAAGTTTGGGGTGTTAGTGTCACAGTGGACATAATTTGGAGTTTTTTTTATGGAATTTGTTCTAAAATTTATTCAAACAAGCATGTGTATGCAATGCCAAGAGTTTTGCTAATTTTCCTTCCCTGTGCCCGGTCCCCACGTTATTACTTGGAGAAAACCTTACACAATATCTGCCAAGTAGGAAAGAAAATGATCCACTTCCTGTTGCCGAGTAATGCAAGAACACTTTGATGGTCTTGATCTACTCTCCTCAGCAAACCATCCCTACCTCTTACTGTAACTCTCATTCCCATTTCTGAAATTAAGACAGTAACACTTTCATGAATTATCAAGTAAATACCTGAAGTTACATTAAGGATTAGTTTACGTTTTTCACTTTTTGTGACTTTCTCACGCATACGCACGATTTCTTTTTCAATCTTATAGAGTACCCATATTATGTACGTGCTCAGATTGCTGTCTATGGGATGAGAATTGACATAATAGCAAAATGGGCACGCGGTAGTCTAGTGTTAATATTGAAAATTGCCATTGAGATGGATGACAAAAACTCGTGCAAATATGGTTTTTGGAAAAGTTGACTTCATAAAGATCATGTGAACTATCCATGAATATGTGGGGAACAAATAGTTTAACCACGGGCCATGGCAAATGCCGTTGGCCGAATGACAGAAAAAATTGTCATTTCTTATAGCTCCTTAACGAGGTTAAGTTTTATGAAAAGCAAATGTTGCTGCATTAGCTGTGAAGCTGACCAGGTAAACAAAGTCATTCGGTAGCATTGTGCTACTTGTGATTCCGAAAGCTTGAAGTCATCGTACCACGGCAACACTATGCACACTGGAGTCGTGATAGCCATTGGGGTGTCATTTTCGCAGTCAGGACTTTTATATGACTGAGTGCAAGGAGACAACAGGAGTGAAAGAATCCATATCTTCTAGGACTTTTGTATGGGCCGGTGCAAATTATGGTAAAACTAAGAATGTTATAAGATAATGGGGGAATAATGACCAAAATCAGAAGACCAATCGGTTCTTAGAAGAATCCTGGGCCACGGCAACTGCTCCTTAAATTAGGTTAAGTTCTAAGAAAAGAAAAATTGCTGCATTAGCTATGAAGCTAACAACGTAAACAAAGTCGTTCGGTGGCATTGTGCTACATGCGATCCCAAAATCTTGAAGTCATCACCTATCATTCCACTTACCATTTGCAGCTCAATTCCTGGTCTAAAAGTTAAAAGATTGTACGTATGCAATGAGACAGTTACTGAATTTAGTTCAGTCTTTCTCTTTCTCTTTTTATTCTTTTATTTATTTTGGGGGTTAAATGTCTTTGATTGTATCCAGTTACCTGAACCGTGATCGACATCCTGACCACTGAAAACATCCTAATGTTTTGCAGTTCATTGATATCATTCCAAATTGACACACAAGCCTGTGAAACATTTTACAGCAATCCCTCTATAATCACATCTATCCACATCTGTTCTCTCAGCCTCCAGATATGTTGAAACAAAGAATGGATCTCCTAGACTACAATGCTTTCTCTGTTTCTCACTTTGTTACTAGGCACGACCTCCCGTCCAAGGAGGAAAGTTTTGGCCTTATGCAGTTCAGTGACAACGTCTCCGATGTCCATCCGTTCACCTGGTGATGCAGCTGAACAGATGACCCCAATCCGAAGGATTGTAGCCAAGCACGTGCTTATGTTGTTTATTTTGTCTGTTTGTTGCCCATTGTCATTCAACTCCCTCTCTTCTTCCAAATTTAGCGAGGGATCTATGACCTGCATGAACCTATCTGGAAGAGCCATTTTGACGAACTCATGGAGGTTAAAGTTGTCCACAAACATGCTCTCTGTGGGTCTCTTTCCTGTGAACAATTCAAGCAAGAGAATCCCATAGCTATAGACATCGCCTTGGGTTGATACGGCTTCCGATAGACCATATTCTGCAATATGCACGAGTCCGGAAACTAGTCAATTCCTTTTCCGTAAAATAGATATTCCTTTATTCTTTTTCCCCAGATCTATTGAGCAAACCAACTTTTCTTTCTTATTTTTTCTCCTTTTCTTGGGTACATTTTCCATCTTAGACAGTACAGGCATTATATGACTCGGAAGCAATCTGTATTGTACTGAAATACTGGAATAGGAGGGTAATGATGTTCATATTTGGACAATAAGAGCATAGGAAGTTGTTTAGATTACCTGGAGCAACATAACCAACTGTGCCTCTTATGCCAATCGAGCTGGTCTGCATTTGAGAGGCTCTTGACAGGAGAAATTTTGCCAGGCCGAAATCACTCACATGCGCGCGCAAGTCATCATCTAGAAGGACATTGCTTGGCTTCAAGTCACAGTGTGCTATTGGTGCATGGCACTGGTGGTGGAGATAGTCCAATCCTGCGGCCACATCGATTGCAATATCTAGCCGTTGGACCATATTCAGCTTGATCCAATCTCCAGTAGGATGTAGCCATTTATCCAGGCTCCCGTTCGGCATGAACTCGAACACTAATGCTTCAAAATCATTCCCTTGGAAATCTGTGCTTGAGCAAGAGGTGATGATCTTGACGAGATTTCGATGCCGAACACTCCTTGATGCTTCATATTCGGCTAAGAGGCTCTTTTGAGCTATGCGTTCCTGAAGTTTAATCACTTTCACAGCAACAGTCTGGTTATTGGTGAGCTTCCCTTTAAAGACGGTGCCAAAGCTTCCTTGGCCTATTAAGTTTGCCAAGGAAAATCCATCTGTTGCTCTAAAGAGTTCCGAGTAAGACAGTTTCACGTACTGATTTTTCAAATTGGCGGATGAAGTTGTCTCTTTTCGGGACTTTTGCACCCAAAGGAGAACTATGGAAGTACATGCCAAGCCTATGAAAATTGAGAGGGTTATGCTGATAGCCAACACTTTCTTAAGATTTGAATATTTCCGTAGGTTCTTTTGGTTTTCAATATCACAAGGTGGCAACTGCAGCTCTTGAATTCCCCCACAGAGCTTGTTATTTCCCTCAACTGATATTGCACTAAGATTTCTGAAGATTCCTCCTTTTGGCACTTCACCAGCAAGCATATTGAAGGAAAGGTTGAGATTCCGAATGAGACGGAGCTCTGCGAAGAACTCAGGAATCGGACCAGATAAATTGTTCCCAGAAAGGTCGACAACTTGTATGCCTTTCAAATTTTTGAAAGACGAAGGAATAGCTCCACTAAATTGGTTACCTTTCAATATGAGAAATTCCAACACCAGACAGTTGCCCAAAGTGATTGGAATTGCTCCAGACATACTATTCTCGGAGACATCGAGTGCCATGAGATTGACCATCTCACCCACCTGCAATGGCATTGGACCTGTCAATGCATTACCTGCCAGGGATAGTCCTATTGAGAGAGAAGGGAGGCCAAATACTTGACCAGGCACTGAACCAGTGAGGTTATTCCGGGACAAATCTAGCTCATTCAGATGATTGCAGTTTCCTATTGAAGCCGGTATGCTTCCCTCAAGCATATTATCACGCAAGATGAGACGATTTAGTGAACTTGCATTGCCAATCATGAAGGGAATTATCCCAGAGATATTATTATCGGAAAGCAAGAGCACTCGCAGATTGTAGAGCGCTCCAATGGACAGGGGAATATTCCCGGTAAGCTCGTTTTCAAACAACGAAAGAAGTCCCAAATTCACAAGGTTTCCTACCCCGAAAGGGATGGATCCGTGCACTAAGTTTTGATCAAGGCGTAGGCTTGTGAACGTGGTGGAGAAGTTTGCTAGAGAATCTGGTAACATGCCTTGGAGATGATTAAGAGGCAACCAGACAAACATTAAATTGGTGCAGTTGCTCAAGGAACCAAGAAATCTCAGATCATCGCCTTTTTCAGTTCCTAGAAAGTTTCCACCGAAACTTAGAACCTGCAAGTTCTGTAGACCTCCCAATTTTGGTGGTATTGACCCAGAAAAAGAATTTAGGTTACCGTTTATTTGCACAAGTTCGGTAGCATTTGTTATGGAGTTGGGGATCGGCCCGGAAAACTGATTACCACCAACATAAAAGCCTTGTAGTTTTGGGAGAGTGAGAAATAAATCTGAAGGAAGAACCCCGCTTAGATTGTTGGAAACCATCGAGAATAAAACCATTGATGAAATATTATACAGAGAAGTGGGAATTGGGCCCGAGAGTTTATTGAGTGAAAGCTGAAGGGATGTCAAGATGGAGAGCTGGCCGAGTTCTTGGGGAATGCTTCCTTCTAAAAGATTGCCCGCAACAAAAAAGCGATAAAGGGACGAGAGATTGCCGAGAGAAGGTGGGATTTTCCCTGTAAGTCGATTTGTTGATAGGCCTATGCTGTTTAGCTTCGGAAGATGACTCAGTGTATCAGGAATAGTTCCGCTAAAGTTATTGCCCCATAGATTTATGGCTGAAAGATCTACACAGCGAGAGAGATTTTTCGGCAGTTCTCCTTCGAAAGAATTGTTCACCAGGCTAAGAGTCTGAAGTCTAAACAAGCGGCCAATATCCTCGGCAAGCGTCCCGTGGAAGCCGTTGCCATCTAGTCGAAGCGTTTGCAGGAAAGAAAGGTTTCCAACTTGAGAAGACAGCGAACCTTTCAACTGAAGGGATGAAAGGTTAAGGGCAATCACTCTCTCACGTTTTTGGCTACACGTAACACCTGGCCAGTCGCAGAAGGGGATGGAGTTGTTCCACGAGGTTAACGCATGGAGAGGATCGTCCGTAATCTGATCCTTCATTGCTAGTAATGCATGGTAATCTGTCTCATTTGTGAAGCCATATGTGGGTTTGGCTGGAGCTAAGGAGAAGAAGATGAAGATCAAGAGAAAAGGGAAATTTAGCTTCATAGCCATCTCCATTCACTAACTATGAAGTTCAAAGAACAGGAGTAGGGTTGCTGTTAGTTGGGGCACTTACCTGGTCATATATTAGAGGTGTGCAAAGAAACCGGAACCGTCCGGACCGGTAATATATATTTTAATTTTTTATTTTTTTAAAAAATAAAAATTCTAAATCCCAAATTTGGCCGGCGCCCCTCCTTGGTGGAGAGTCCTCGCCTGGAAATTCTGCATAGTTGACTGAATCAAGAGTGTTTGTTGCCGTGAGAGTTGCAAATGGCAAAGAAGTCAGCCAAAAAAACTGGACTATTGCAGGAGCTACACAAACAGGGAAATGGACTGGGATTGGCAACAATCTTGAGCCAAAAATGTGACGGACATTGCAGCTGGTATTTTGACCATTTGAGAGGTCATTTGAGGTGACAAAACAAGGGTCAAAACCTTGCTGCATTTGCTGGAAATGCAGAGGGAAGATAACTGCTGCAAGGAGGGGAAACAAACTTTAAATCTTGAATTGCAAGGGAAGATAGAGGAACATAACGCTGGGAAAGGGACTGGTGATACGGTTCCCGGGTGGATCTATGGAACCAACGGGCGGTTCCTGATTCCAATATTTCAGAACTGATCCTTAATGGGCGGTTTCCAGTTTCGGAGTGAGAACCGCCCACCCGAATTATGCTCACCCCTATTGTGTATATATATAGAGAGAGAAGCAGCTTGAAAATTTCGACCAAACAATGAGTGCTTGCCGAGTTGGTTCAAACAACTATGATGATTCGGATTTAGGTCCTACCAAAAATATTTCTTTACTGCACATTGCTTTCATGCATTTCGCAGTTAATAGTATATAAAGCTCATTTCTTTTTTATTTGTCATTCTCAGTTTCAAGGTTGTTTTGGTCACTTTAAGAAAATTGCGGGCCCTTTCTTTTACTCTTATCCCTTGATTTGGATATTATATTAATATTCGGAGAAAATAACACCATAAATGTTACAACTTTTATACGAAGTTTACTTTAGTGTCGTAACTTTTAAGTCAATTACTTGAATGCCATAGATTTAAAAAAAAAAATTTCACTTGAACAACATTGCGGATTTCCGTAGTTGGAAAATTCGACTTGACATTAATTTAATATAAATTTTTCGACATGACTTGCCAGAAAATGGAGTTAGCAAAAAAGCATGCAGAGATGAATTGGGCCTAAATTAGCTCTAATTGAAGCCCTAACCCCATTTCATCTTCAAATCATGCAAGTAAAAAATTTCCGTAAAATCTCTCGGACATCATCGATTCCCATTTCTCTCTCTTTTCTTTCCTGCCAAATTGACCATATGAGAATCCCACAACCATTATCGGCCAATACCTATCTCTTCCTCTTTGCATCGCGCCCTGACAGTAGATTGGAGGTCGTCGACCTCAAACTGTTCGACATCTCTTCTTTGCATGAGAGGTTTGTGTATGTCAAAAATGAGAGAAGATTGAAGTTGTGAAATTATAATAGTTGAATCTCATACCAGGAAAAGATTATAATTAAAGAATTATGTGTAATGTCTTTGACAGTGACAAGACGATTTTTGAATATTTCCAATAACATATGCATATAATTTAAAATTCATAGTTGAACAGGCTTTTCTCGAAAATTTGTGGGAAAGTTTGAGGCTGAAGGGATGGAGAGGGTTTGCTTGATTAACAGCAAATATGTCTGTTTGAATAATTAAAAGGGATTATTTCTTTTCCCCTGTCTTTGGTCTTCCGCTGTATAACCCCAGCTAAACTTGTATTTTAGCTACACAAATGAGACAGATCAAGGATGGGATAACTGAAGATCTTCAACGTGTTTTGAACTCCTGGAACAATTCCATTCCCTTCTTGCGTGACCTTGACTTGGACTTTGCCTGAGTAGATGATGAAAGAGGTGGATATTGCTGGTCTCCCAAGGGAATTGCTTGGACTTTGGAAGGCCTTGCAAGATCTATACATTCATTGATTACAGAGGGAAGTCTTCCTTCGTGTCGATCACGGAGACATGAGAACGATCTAACAAAGACTGCACAATAGAAGAAGACACCGAGATAATACCGGCGAATGCGAAGCTCAACGGGTCAATTGGAGAAAGCGCAGTCTGGTTCATTCGATCTTTGAAGTTGGTTTTGTTTGTTTTCACTACGTGATTCAACAATCTTTAGAGGACTTTGCAGAGTGGGTGTCCTTTAAGCAGGAGATAGCGTCTATGCAACGTATATACAATGTGACATGTTGTCGATCCGTCTCTTTGTATGTGTCTGTCAAACTTTATTGCGACATTAAAACATACAAAAGGATTACATTTGATTGGATAAATTGTTGACATCGGCTTAGCAGGTCAAGTACTACGAACATTATCAGACATGGTTTCTATTTAGGTAGAGCAGATCGATAGGTTATTTAGGACCCGTTGGCAAGTGACGTGGAACAATTCCTCAATACAAAAAAATCATGAGTCTCAACATAAAAAAAAATATTTATAATTAAATTAATATAATTGAAAGGTTTAAAATTAAACTGGCATAAATATAGTAGATTTGTGATTTTTTTTTGACACTTTTCCCATCATTCAAGAAAGTTGGCCGCAATCAACGTTTCCCGATAAATCCCGTATTCTGCTCCGTGTTATAAATTCCTGAAACTTGACGTAACTTTTTTCCAAGTCCTCCGAATCTTTTAAAGCCTTCGTGAAAGACCACTACTATTCAGTCTCTTGTCTTTTTCCTTCCCGCATTTAAAGGGATTTGGACAAGCGTGGGGAACACGATGAATGCTTGAAAATGTCAAGAATAATATGTGAGAAGAAGAAATAAAGAAGAGGGCCCAAGGCTGAAATTCAATTGGATCAAGATGCCAGCTTACCTTCTCTACTTGTGATCCATCATTCATTTCTCGACCTTTACAAAGTTTGGACAACGACTTCCATTTCATTGACAAAAAAGCCCGTCTTAAGATAAGACACGAGTTCAATCCCGATTAAGTGATCGATTGAGCTTGGTTTTACCGGGGAAAATCGTGACTATTCTTCTCGTGGTGTCATGATGAAGAGCTTGATTTTTCTTATTTTCTCTTGCCGTGGAGTATTGAAACTCATTAAAAGACTAATCCATTTGTAGAAATTTTCGGCCACGGGAACATTGGAAAGATCCAAAGACAGACAATGTGACTAAGCCAGAATTTCGTTGACATGGTCCGGCGGCTAGGAAATTTTTGATTCCCCCAAAATAGATTTTTTTTTTTTAATTTTCCTATTTTCTTCTTCTTCAGTGCTTATCCCACCATGATTTCCGGAGTTGAGAAAAATAAAATTACATGGCATTCCGGACAGCCCCTATATCACGGCCATACTTATGGGAACGCACGCATTCTTAATCAAACGTTTGATGTTTTTGATAACTCAAATTGGAGATTATCTGATCTTTTTGCCTAATATCAGGCTTGGACATATTTAATTGGGGAGACAAATGTGGCCTGAAAAAATTTGAAGTCAAGATCTTATGCTATGATATTATATGAGATTTTGTAGGACTATTACCAACTGTTCTAAAAACTTAAGCTTTTAGATTAAGGCGTAATTTAATATATAATTATTCTAACAGTCTCCAATTGATGTAGCTATTTCTTTTCTATGGAAACACGGTCAAGCACTGCAATCCTCGTCATGGGGCTCATCTATATACAAGGACTTGTGAGCCTGTATGGGTACAAACAGCCTTGCACCACATGCTCACAGCCTTCGCCTGAGTTGACAAATGTTACGGAGATAGCGAAACTCTACTTCTTGAATAATGTTCGCGTCATTACGGACCAAAAAAAAAAAAGAATAATGTTTGCGCCATTGATCATGATGGCAAAGAATGATGATGTTTATGTATGCCCTACCTCATTCGAGATATGTAAAACAGCGATTTTCTGTATAATTTTCTTTTTTAATTATGCCTTGCAAATACGGAAAAACAAACTGTATTTATAGACTTAATAGTTGTGCCCGAGAAGTGCTTTCAGGAATGTTCGGTTGACCAGATCACTAATAATAACCTGATCAACATAGGAATCTTCTCTTGTATATCTACTGCGATTAACATGAAATAAAAACTGGATCGATGAGAGTGAACCCTTGTCGATTGTCCATGGTGGTTGCCATCGAGAGATCTCGATGGTTTTAAGCTAGGATATGATAATGTGCTTGGTGGGACAAAGTGAAACTCTCTACAAGTGAGGACCTCTTTGGTCAACTGCTTCTCCGTGAGTTCCACGGGTTAGACAGGGGATACTCACTAGGGAATGAAATGGCATAAGACGCAGCGACTGTATAGACTCGCTATTGAAGCTGGCACCTCCAGATGGTCAGAGAGCTCCAGGAATATAATCAAGTAACATTGCTGCAAAATGGGCATGTGAAGGGTACTCGTGAGTCTAGACCTATTAAACGGGTGGGTCGGGTCGGGTTATAAATGGTTCGACCCAATTTGACCCATTTATCGCAAGGCAAAAATCTTGACCTATACCCGACCCATTTAACTAAATCTAGGAAAGCTTATTTCTGATAATTATTTTAAATGATTGTATTGCTAAAACATCTTCATGCAATACAAATCTTTTAAAAAAAATTGATGCTCTATCTGTTTCGCAGAAAATATAACATTTCTGCAAAATATTTCAGGAAAATGACAACATTTTCCGATATTTGGCTAAAACCTGAAAATGAACTAGAAAATATTTTCCGCCATTCGATATGAAAAATCATATTTTCCTCTGTGCACACATTTTAATATTTTAATATTTTTATTTTTTTAAAAATTATATTTTAATTATTTTAATTTTCTTTTTTTCTTTTCCTTTTTCCTTTTCTTTTTTCTTCTTCCCTCGTTGGTGGCCGGTGAAGCTCGAGCTCGCCCTAGGCCGGTGAGATCGACGAGGCTCACCAGAGGGTGGCGAGGCCTCGGCCTCGCCCCGATCGGTGAGCTCGAGCTTTGCCGACCTTCGGCAAGTTCGTCCCTCGCTTGTCGTCGGCTGCCCTACCTTGAGGGTTTCAGCCTAGGTTGCTTTTGCTCTTAGGTTTTTTCAATTAGACTTTGGGGCTGGCTTTTCATTCTGAAGAGCCTATGGAAAATCAAATCTCATTAGCTGAAGCAAAAAAGGTTTTTTTTTTCCTTAAATAAAACATTTAATTTTCTTTGACTCCGATGTGCAACTTATGGGCTTCTTGTGCGTTTGTTTAATTGAAAACTTTACCATGGAGAGAAATGTTTTCCGTGAAGATTTTCAAAGAAAATGGCTGATTTTTAGTTGTTTGGTGGTGTTCTTGAAAGGAAATTTTTTTCTTATTTTTTTCGTTTTGACTGTAAAATTTTTTCTGTTGATTATTCACTTTCTGCGAACCACATGAAAGTTTGGAAAATTATTATTTTTTTCAATGAAAACAAACACCCCTGGATTGTGTTCTAATCATACATGGGAATGTTAAAATGTTGTAGGTTCTGGAGTTGGCTGGTAATGCTGCAAGAGACAACAAGAAGAACAGGATCATCCCGAGACATGTTCTCTTAGCTGTGAGGAATGACGAGGAGCTTGGGAAATTGCTCGCTGGAGTGACCATCGCCCATGGAGGGGTGCTTCCCAACATCAACCCGGTCCTCCTGCCGAAGAAGACCGAGAAAGCGGCCAAGGAGCCGAAGTCTCCTTCCAAGGCCACCAAGTCACCCAAGAAGGCTTAACGGATTAGTCTTGTTTTGATTTGGTCTTGTGCCAAAGGTGACTGTTTGTATTGCCCTCTTTTCATGCCTCCGCCTCCTTCTGTATGTAATTTTAGCTTGATGTGATGTAGCTAGCAAGGATCACCTAGAGGGGGGTGAATAGGTGATCTAAATAAATTCTTTACCAATTTAAAGCGGAAGTAAAAGATCAAGAACAAAGTCTGAACAACAAGCAGATTCTGATCAAACTTTGTGACAAATGTTCTTGTGAGCAGTATAAACAATATAATAAGAGATTAGAGATGGAGAAAACTGCACACAAACAATTATAGTGGTTCGGCTTAGATCAAGCCTACGTCCACTCTCCCACGCTGACAGCCTACTGGCTGGATTCCACTAATCAAATCAATGAGAAGTTACGGCAAGTTGTGCCGCTTAAACCCAAGCACTTCTCCCTGAAGTTGGTGCTGCTTATACCAAGCCGATAGATCACACTATCTCACACCTATGCACACACTTATAACACTGTATACACCTCTCAAATGATTACACGTTTAAGCTCACGAAAAACAAGAGATTGAATCGGAGTATGCTCAGACTTTGGACTTGTTGATTCTTGATTTCGTTCTCTCCCTTCTGCTCCTCGTTGATCTTCTTTTATACTCCTCAACTTCCAAACTAGCCGTTAGACAGTCTTCAGAGGATCATCTTCCAATCTTCACCTTGGACAGATTTGTATAAAATGGATTGAGTAGCCGTTGGTTAACAAAATCTGAATCCCGCTGATTCTGTTCATCCATACAATTAGAATCTTGGTTTCTATAAGTAGAGCTTTATCCGTTGTAATGCATACTTGTCATAATGTTTGATTGTCAATCAATTATAGCCTTAGATTGAGACAATCAAAACTTTCCTTCTGTGAAATCTATGCCAGATCACTAGCTGTTATGTTTCGTTCTGAATGAATCCCGCGTCTGAATATATTCTGCGTCTGCTTCTACGTTTGTGTCTCTTTCAGAACTTAGATTAGTGTGGGTCTTCGGTAAAGTCTGAACTTTTTCGTTCTGAGTATGAACTTCTTGTTCTGAGTCTGAACTTTCTTTTGCTTGAAGTTCTTTCACAATCTGAACACAAACTAGATCAAGATTGCCATATGCTTTTCTTCCAAAAATAACTTCCTGAATCAAAATACTTCAAAGCATTTATCATACTTACAAAACACTCATGGACAGTTTTGTCAACTTCAAAATCTATTAGGAATTTTCTTAACAATCTCCTCCTTTTTGATGGTGACAAAACTTCCATGCAGTTATATAGATTTTGAGATAATTTTGAAAAATATGATCAAGCATATAATGTAGCAGATATTCAAGATATCATATATGATCAGAGTAATTTGATATGGGATTTTTTATACTCAGTTTTTGAATAAGACAAGGAGTATGACAAAATTTGAACCGTAAAAGAAATGAATCATAGTCTGTCTCCTTTTATTTGTATCCAATAATCTGCATATCAAACCAAATCATATCTGCGTATTTGAGCATATCAAAGCATATCATATCTGCATATTTCTCCCCCTTTTTGTCAGCATCACAAAAAGATATATGCATAAAATTCCTTAATGATCATGACAATATATGGAAGTATAATCAAAACTCAATATTATGCATCAATTAAGTAGAATTAACCACTAAGTACATATGCATATTTACATTCTCTCCCCCTTTTTGTCATAATCAAGAAGCGATAATAATGAAAAGGGTATCACGTAGAGAATATAAACTGAACTCATCTTCACATACAATCTTCAAAATATATTTGGCATGAAACACAATCTCCAAAAACATCAATGAACAATATATATATTCAATATAACTCATGTTCAAATATCATATATATATATATCAATGAACACGCATGCACATAATAAATTTCACAATCTTGTTGTCATAATAAACGATTATATAAATAAGAGATTTGTTAATGACAAAAAGTAAGGGAAATATAAGAAATACTAACCCGGATTGTATAGAACTTAGCAAGTTCTAACATACATTACCTTTTCTTTCATAGTAATCAAGAGTGGGCAGAAATTAAATTGACTTTCATACTTGATTTACACTCCCCCTCAATTTGATACCATTTTGAGATGACTCTTCCCCTTTCTTTTGCATTTTTCACTTTTTGCTTTTTGCCTTTTTGTTTTTCTCCCCCTGTCATCAAGACAGCTTTTGCGAATAGCTTTCATTGCTGCTTGTGCACGTTGAACATATTGTTGTTCCTCTATTTTCTTTGTAACAGCAACATCCGTCACATTTGTTTGCATTTTGAAATTCGAGAAAGAAATTTGTTTTCTTCCATCAAGCTCGTCTCGGATTCAAACTGCATAAACTCAACAAACTTTTTGCACAAATTTGTAGTTAAAGATATAATATCTCACATAATATGTAATGCCTTTTCTTTAGCAATTAAAATAATATCAAATATTTAAACCCGAAGCAACTTATCCTTTCGTACGACGCATTAAGCGTTTGCTCATCGTGTTTTGACATGTCTCCAATAATTTGTCAGAATATTGCACAAAGTGGAATTTTCTTTATCCTTCGAAAATATTGCAAAATCTCCACGATTTTGGGATCAAGCTTTCCAAACTTCACAAGGAAAGATTCCTTTACAACCTGCAAATACTTGTAAGAGAAATAATAATCTTTGCAAAATATAGAGAATGTCACATACATACCTTCCTCCGATTTGCAGATCAAACATGCCAATTATAATAGTACTTCCAAGAATATAGCAAGTGTATCCAAAATATGCAATAATATCTTTCAAGATTGTAGGAATTTTCCTTAAGCATGCATCTCAGATGCATAAAGATAATATGACAATAACGAATTTCACAAAAGGAATGTAGATATTTCAAGCATTAAATTTATGCAATATCTTACACACATGGCAATAGAAATTACTGATTCATATCCCAATATGCATGTGCTGAATATACCTTTCCTTTTTAGAAAAGAATTCCTCACTTAAGATCCTTCTTTGATTGCATCAAGATCTGCGTAGGTTTACAATTACGATTCCTTTGTAAACTTGCCTGCACTTTACATACCCATTTTTCTTTCTCTTTTTCTTATTCCCCGCAAAAAGAGCAATCTCATCTATTCTTTGGTACCCAAATCTGCTTGGGTCCTTTTTGGTTAGAAGAAGCATCAAATCTCCAATTGATTGTCTTGGATTTCTTCCAATCAGTTGGACATTGTTGCTTATAATGATTAGGATCACTCAAGTTCGAGTAATTATAATATTGAAATCCAATAGGCTTGACAAATTGCTTACCAAAATGATTTCTATAATGCTGGATTGAAGGTCTGCGCTTTAATCTCTCCTTAACCTTTGGAAAGTCATTTTCGATCTCATTTTCATTTTCGAAACCGAGGCCGGATTTGTTGTAATAGGGGACTTGAATGGATAGAACATGCTCCAATGTCTTTGAGCCAAGAGCAAATTTTTTGCAAATCTTCGAAATTTCTTCCTTATAGGAATCAACTTCTTTTTGCAAATTATCCTTCTCTTCCTTGACAGAGGAATTCTCCTTTTCAAGCTCAATGATCCTTTTCTCATTCGTAATATTTTGTTGCTTCAATTTAGAGACTTCCTTTTTTGACTCGGAGATCTTCTTCAACGCATTCTCATGTTCCACGCATAACTCTTCAAAAAGATCATCATCATCGAGAATAGGATCTGAACAAATCACCTCATCTTCTTCGAATTCAATGTCCGCCATTAAGCATAGATTTCCTTGCTCATAGATTTCATCATCGCTGGATTCAGACTCTGTGTCGTTCCATGTTTCTGCCTTCAGAGCTTTCTTCTTCTTTTCGAATGTCCCTTTCCTTTTCTTGAATAAAGGACAATTGGGTTTTATGTGACCCATTTTCCTGCACTCAAAACATATTATATCCTTACCTTCATTGTCGTCTCTGTTTTTAAAATATTTTCTTTCTCCGGATTTCTTTGTTGGCTTCTTCTCTTTGGGGTTTCTTCTCTTTCTCACAAGGTGTTGAAATCTTTTGATCAGCAACTTCATCTCCTCATCGTCGTCTTCTTCATCTCCTTCAAAATCTGTTTCATCAGAATCAATGTTAGATTTTAAGGCAATTAACTTCTTACCTCTGGATTCATTCTTCTCATTCAGTTGCTCAGTCTCATATGATTGAAGAGATCCAATTAACTCATTCACTGATAGAGGCATGATCCATTGTGTCTCTCGAAGAGATGTTTTGATATTATTCCACTGCTTTGACAGTCGTCTCAGTAGTTTGTTGACTTTCATCGCATCTGAGACTGGTTGTCCTTGGTATGCAAGACCGTTTACTATGTCAGTAAATCTGTCATACATATCAGCAATTGATTCTCCAGACTTCATTTTGACGGATTCATATTGACCAAGCAATAGATTGATTTGAGTTTCCTTGGCACGATCTGTTCCTTCATAAGTATTGTAGAGAGTATCCCAGATATCCTTAGCTGATTCACAAGAAGCAATTTTTTTTATATTCAATAGGTGCTAATGCACAATAGAAAGAATAAATTGCTTTAGAATCTAAGGCTTCTCTTTTTGATAGCTCAGTTTGAGATAATGGAGGATATGCTGGTATGCTTCCTTATGTCTTTTCTTTTGAATCAGAAGATTTCGACTTGACTCCTCTGATGATGACATCCTATTGCATGTGATCAATTGACTTTATGAATGCCTTCATCTTATTCTTCCAGACACTATATTCCTTGCCATAGAAATATGGTGGTCTGTTGTTGCTTTGTCCTTCAATGAGACTCGGAGCACTCAAGCTAGCCATATAGATCGTTAGCTCAGAAGTAAAACACTTCAATAAACGAGCAACCTGCTCTGATACCAATTGATGTAGCTAGCAAGGATCACCTAGAGGGGGGTGAATAGATGATCTAAATAAATTCTTTACCAATTTAAAGGAGAAGTAAAAGATCAAGAACACAGTTTGAACAACAAGCAGATTCTGATCAGACTTTGTGACAAATGTTCTTGTGAGCAGTATAAACAATATAATAAGAGATTAGAGATGGAGAAA